CTTTAGTCTAAGTTATCTCAGTGGGTCTCAAACGGTTTGGTCACAAATTATTCAAAAGATTATTTCCGCGGCACACCTTCATATGATCATTATAGTTATAAAAAAAAAGAGAATAAAGGAAAAACAGTTATGAAATACTATATGGCAGTAAAACAAGAATAGAGTTTAAAAAGGGAGTGATTAGTAAAATATCCATAAAGAAAAAGAACATCTGTTTACAGTTCTGCTTCATATGGGTGTTGAGAGAGGTATCCATAGATCTCTTCATTTTGCTCTCAAAGTGCACCAGATTGATGCATTTAACTTCAATATTTAAAAAAAAATCTTCCCGGGGGAGCATCCCCCCGGACCCCCCTAGAGGAGGTACCACTCTACCCCTGCCTATATGCCGTGAGCTAATTATCGAGCCTTCATTGTAACAGTCGCGGGTGTACTGTGTGTGTGCGTGTGGGGAGTGTTGCAGTAAAAAATGCCACTGTAGTGCCGCCGCCACTGTGGGCTAAGCCCCGAATGTTTTCAGGTCCAGGCAACGCCCCTGCCTCAAGCCATAACATTCATCCTGTCTGAGTGAAAAGGTTCAAGGTTCAAGGTTCAAGGTTCTTTATTTTGTCATACGAACATAGCTACAGTGTAGTTATGCCGATGAAAATCTTAGGTCACAGGCTCCTCCAACAGTGCAACACAAAACACAGATAAACAGAAAAATATAGTGAATAGTAAATAGTAAATTCAAAAAGAAAAATAGTTTAAAAAAGTGAAATAGTGCAATAAGAGTCTATATGCAAGTTATTGGAATGATATATTAGAGAAATAGAGAAATAATTACTAAGTAGCAGATGAATGTTATGGATGTTGTTTCAGCAGTTCAGTTGTTTAACAGTCTTATTGCCTGTGGGATGAAGCTGTCTCTGAATCTGGTGGTTTTAGTCCGGATGCTGCGGTAACGCCTGCCAGACGGCAGCAGACAGAACAGTTTGGCTGGGGTGATGGGGGTCTTTTATAATCCGGAGGGATTTCTTCCTGAGCCGCTGGGAGTAAAGGTCCTCCATGGATGGCAGCTCCGTCCTGGTGATGTTCTGTGCAGTTTTCACCACCCTCTGTAAAGCCTTACGATCGAGGGCGGTGCAGCTGCCGTACCAGGCCGTGATGCAGTCAGTCAGGATACTCTCTATGGTGCACCTGTAGAAGTTGCAGAGTATCCTGGAGTCCATGTTGAACCTCCTCAGCCTGCGGAGGAAGAAGAGCCGCTGTCGAGCTTTTTTGGTGATGGTGGTGGTGTGAAGAGTCCATGTCAGGTCCTCAGTGATGTGGACCCCGAGGAACCTGAAGCTGCTGACTCTCTCCACCGTAGTCCCATTGATGGCGATGGGGGCGTGTCCCTCTCTCTGCTGCTTCCTGTAATCCACTATAGAGAAGCGAAGTCCCTCCCTTTCCGGTGGACCTCCATGGGACCTTATTTCGGAAAAATTATGTATTGAAGTCAATGGCGAGAGAAAAGTTATCTTTCGATCCCGTTTGAATTGTGCCACGAATTACACATGATGTTTGTCAATTTAAAAGATAATTTTGCAAGTAAAAAAAAAAATGTTTTGCCTTAAAACTGTGAAGTAAGACTTTTTTTGTGTGAAACCGCTCAATGAACTACATCTCTGGTCTCGCACAACAACACACGTCACCAAGATGGCCGTCACTACTGTCTTGCCAAACAAGGGATTGACTACCCTCACTATCACCACAATGAAACACATCCTGAAGAATGTCATGCAAAGCTGCCTGCCTGCCTGCCTTCCTTCGATTCTCCCTGAACTGCCTGATCTTTTTAATGTTCAATGTTAACCATTTGTGCAGATAGCATGACGTAGAAAAGATCGCCGATGCTAATGTAGCGTTAGCGTTAGCATGTCTCCCCCGGGGGCATCCGGGCTTAAACGGTGTATTATAGAATGATCACACCGGTGTGACGGTACTCTTCAAAGGGTTCACGAAATATGACTACTACTCTTACTGTTTAACATTGTGGGTTACTTAATGTTACTTCATGTTAAGGCTAATACAAGGCTAAGGCTGTAATGCTAACTAACGTGCTTGCTACTAGCTAATTAGCTAACTTGATCCAGCCACTCCTGGTCCTTCCATCAGACGGGAAGCGAAAGAACGAGCAAGACCCATTGCTGGTATGATTACAACCTGGTACTAAGCACACAGGCATCTTGTTAAAGTGATCTTATCTTAGCTATCTCTTATATTTAGAGGAGGAAAACAATTATGACATCAGTTATGACATCACTTACGCGACTCTGGGATTTGTAGTCTTTCTAGTTGCGTATTTTTCATAGTCTTATATTTCAACAGTTTTACGACAAACTGTGACTTTTTTGACATGGAAATGATTTTTTAAGATTGACAAACATCATATGTGTAATTCATGGCACAATTCAAACGGGATCGAAAGATACATTTTCCGAAATAGAGAGGCGAAGTCCCGCCCTTCTACTTCCGCCCCATGGGACCTTATTTCGGAAAAATTATGTAAAACTGTTGAAATATAAGACTATGAAAAATACGCAACTAGAAAGACTACAAATCCCAGTGTCGCGTAAGTGATGTCATTAACGTTACACATTACACTCGTGTTACTCACCGAAATCTTGTAAAGCCGGTCCCGCATGCTGGCTCTTACGGAACCGTCTAACTCCCCTTTTTCGTATGTACAGCTCTCAACATGCTCAGACTTATAGTGATTTTCACCTCTTTTAATATTTTTCGCCTTATTCTGAAAGAAAGAGGTGAAATGTGCTAACGTGACGGCCATCTTGGTGTTGGTGACGTGTGCGAGACCAGAGATGTAGTTCATTGAGCGTTTCACACAAAAACATGCGTTACTTCACAGTTTTACGACACATTTTAATTTTTTACTTGCAAAATTATCTTTTAAATTGACAAACATCATATGTGTAATTCGTGGCACAATTCAAACGGGATCGAAAGATAATCTTTCTCTCGCCATTGACTTCAATACATAATTTTTCCGAAAATAAGGTCCCATGGAGGTCCACTGGAAGGGGAGGGACTTCGCCTCTCTATAAGGTCCCATGGGTCGGAAGTAGATGGGCAGGACTTCGCCTCTCTATAGAGTGCCACAGTGACGCGTCCTAAAACCCGGAAGTAAGCTGCGCATGGGTTCCTTCGACAAAAACGCAATGCAATTTGTCCATAGGATTTTGGAAAATAGCTTGAAATAAGGTCTGTGGTTGACACACATTTAAGAGACGGATCACGTTTTGTTCAGTCGGATAATCTCCACATGTCTACACTACTTTCATAATTTTCTAATCATAAATCTAATCGAAAGATTTATGATTGATAGATTTATTTATCTCGTCGCCGTCTGTGATCTGGCCGATGACGGTCGTGTCGTCAGCAAACTTCACGATGGTGTTGGAGCTGTGTATGGCCACGCAGTCGAGTGAACAGCGAGTAGAGGAGAGGGCTGAGCACGCAGCCTCGAGGGGCTCTGGTGTTGAAGATCAGGGTGATGTGATGTTTCCCACCCGCACTGCCTGGGGTCTGCCCGTCAGGAAGTTCAGGATCCAGTCACAGAGGGCGCTGTTGAGCCAGAGGTCTCTGAGCTTGATGACCAGCTTGGAGGAGGGCACGTATTGAAGGCTGAACTGTAATCAATGAACAGCATTCTCACATATGTGTTCCTCTGGTCTAGGTGTGAGAGGGCAGTGTGGATGGTGAGGGCTATGGCGTCATCTGTGGACCTGTTTGCTCTGTAGGCAAACTGCAGGGGGTCCAGAGAGTCAGGGAGGGAGGAGGTGATGAAGGTTTTTGACTAACCGCTCAAAGCACTTCATTATGATGGAAGTGAGTGCTACTGGGCGGTAGTCATTAGGGGCGTTCACACCAAGTTATTTTCCCACAATAGTTCATGAGAACTCAGTTCATGAGAACTCTTTTAGTTATGATGAACTAAAGCAGATCGCGTTCACACCGCAATGAGTTCCTGGGGGTGGATTAGGCAAATAAAGCCGCTGACGTCACTTCTTCTTCTGCTTTGGGTTTACTGGCAGGCCGCAAACAACTTCACGGCGTATACTGCCACCCGGAGTCCCCGGCCGGAAGGCTTCAGTAGAAGCTGCTGGGAGTCGCATCAGCTTCTACTGAAGCCTTCAGAGTAAATCGCCAGAACGCCGACACCTCCTCATCTCCACCGCTCCCATGTTTTCTTTTGTGTTGCCATAAGTTAGTCTCTCTGCGTTTGTGCGCTGGGTTAATGCTAATGCTAATAATGCTAATGCGAGGATAATAAAATGGCGGCTTCACAAAACCTTTTGGGAGTTTTACGGGGCGTGGTTTGCAATCCGCCCAGCCAATAGGAACCTTTTTCTCCCACGAAAGTCCCTGCTCTCTAGCAGGGACTGAAAAGGGGGTAAAAATGGTTCTGATGAACTAATTTAGTTCAGGGGGCTTTTTGGTGTGAACGCAAATATATCTGAGTTCTGATGAACTATTGTGGGAAAAGTACTCCGGTGTGAACGCGCCAATTGAGGCTGGTGATTTTTGTCTTTTTGGGGACAGGAACGATGGTGGAGTGTTTTAAACATGTGGGGACTACAGACTGCAGCAGGGACCTGTTGAAGATGTCTGTGAACACCTCTGCCAGATGAACTGCACACACCCTTAGAACACGGCCAGGGATGCCATCAGGTCCAGGAGCCTTGTGTGGGTTAACCCTTTTAAAGGATTTGCACACATCTGCCCTGTTTAAAACAAAAGGGCAGGGCTCCTGGTCCCTCTGTACCTCCACAGCCTGGCTGCACTCGAAGCGAGCAAAAAAACAGTTCAGCTCATCTGGGAGAGATGCGCACGCAGACACTCCCGCAGCACCCCCCGCTGCTCCTTTCCTGACAGCATGGGAACATCCAAACAGATGTTGGTGAAAGCAGGCTTTACATTTCTCAGGAGAGTAACTCAGAATCACTGTGGTACTGTGGTAGACAGATAAAAATACTCTTTATTCACTTAGCTTATTCAAAATTGTGTACAAAATATATAAATATCAGTTCGGAAGAGATACAAAATGAAATGCTACATTTATACTGTACGAAACATCACAGTAGATCATTTACAGACGAAATAGTGGTCATCTTAACTCATTGTTTGACAGATTTAACGCCAACAGGACAGATTCAATTAGATGTTTATTACATGTACGCTGACACCAGTGTCAACAGCCTTTCTCTCTGACGTCTCCTTGGCAACATAGCTTAATGTCTCCTCGACTTCCCTCTAAAAATGGAAAAGAAAAAATGTATCATGCTTCAGCCTGCTTGTGTTGCAGCACTGCTCCACTACCACAGAACTGAATAATAGGATATTATAATTTCCTAAAGATCAGGTCTTTGTCAAAGCCTAAGGTATTCCATTAAGATAAATAATACAGGACATCTTTACATTGTAGAGCTGAAATAAAAAGTTGTTTTGTATTTTTGCTTAAAATGATTAAACAAATAATTACCAAAATAGTTGCAAATCATATCAATAAACTAATCGTTTAACCAGTCAAGAAAAGAAAAGGAGAACAAGAGACAGAAAGAGGTTCAAACACTAAAGGGAACAGCAGAAGAAGACACACAGGAAGTAAACACTGAAGGGGATGACAGAAGAAGACCAAGCCCCCAGGAAGTGCGCCGGACTCTGAGGAAAATATTCGTGGTGGCCAAACGGCGGTACTACACTTCCGTTAGGTTGCTGGGCCCGGAAACACTTTTTCCCATTGACTTACATGGGGAAAGAGTGGTCTGTAAATCGTTGGATAATTTTTTTTTAAACTAAATAAACAACCCAGTATGAACGTTTGTATAGCCCTTATTAAAAACATTCGGTCCTCAAGTTGTAAAATGTGCTAATAACGTTATTCTGTGAGTTATTTCCCTCGGCATTATGAACGCGCATCTAACCCACGGGACCGCGCCGCCTGGCACGTTCATGTTGCGTGTTCAGCACTACATGCGTTTTATCTTTACCCATGGATGCACAATAAGAACGGACCCATATCGCCTTACTGCCAGCCCACGGAGCTGTAATAATGGATATATTGCACATGTTTGCTGTAATTCATCATTTGTAAATTATTATACTACATGGGCTGTATCAGTGGCGTCGCCTGGCCTGGGCATCCGGGGCTTTAGCCCCGAATGTTTTTTCTGTAGCCCCGGACAATTCTCCCTCAATAATATAATACATTAACCGTGCTTTACGTGAACCTCATCATGACACAAGAGAGGACGGCAGCACTGTAATTTCCCGTGTTCAGTGAATGCAACAGAGGCATGACACCAGACCAATCAGAGAGTTGCATGGAAAAAACGTGTGCTTGTGTCATTCAAGCTCCTCTGTGTGTGTGTGGCAATAGCGCATTTAGTGTGATAGAGAGAGAGAGAGAGAGAGAGGGGGAGGGAGGGAGGGAGGTGCCAACATGGACGTGTTGTTAGCATCTGGTTAGCTAGCTGCACTAACGGACATAAGGAGCTGTTTGTTCCACAAGAAGCTGGAGGAGAGTCCTCTCCTCTCAGACTGAGAGACTCAGGTGAGCTAAAGGACTCTCTGAGTGTTTAGATACATAACTTTAGTCTAAGTTATCTCAGTGGGTCTCAAACGGTTTGGTCACAAATTATTCAAAAGATTATTTCCGCGGCACACCTTCATATGATCATTATAGTTATAAAAAAAAAAAGAGAATAAAGGAAAAACAGTTATGAAATACTATATGGCAGTAAAACAAGAATAGAGTTTAAAAAGGGAGTGATTAGTAAAATATCCATAAAGAAAAAGTACATCTGTTTACAGTTCAACTTCATATGGGTGTTGAGAGAGGTATCCATAGATCTCTTCATTTTGCTCTCAAAGTGCACCAGATTGATGCATTTAACTTCAATATTTAAAAAAAAATCTTCCCGGGGGAGCATCCCCCCGGACCCCCCTAGAGGAGGTGAGACCCCCACAAAATACCACTTTACCCCTGCCTATATGCCGTGAGCTGATTATCGAGCCTTCATTGTAACATTTAACAGGGTGTACTGTGTGTGTGCGTGTGGGGAGTGTTGCAGTGAAAAATGCCACTGTAGTGCCGCCACCACTGTGGGCTAAGCCCCGAATGTTTTCAGGTCCAGGCGACGCCCCTGGGCTGTATGATTAAATCTTGTACCGTAAATGTTGTATTAAATAAAGTTAATATTACCGACGTAGATTAACGTCCCTGGAGCTTCTTATTGCACTAAGAAGCTTATTGCACTGTATATATATATGTATATGTATATATGTATGTATATATATATATATATATGTATATGTATGTATATATATATATATGTATGTGTATATATATATATATATACAGTGCAATAATTCTTTCATGCTAAATTAAGCTCTGTTGCTTGGATATCACTAGATCCTGTTACAGCGTAATATAAAAGTACATAACGATTGATGTGTAAATTAGCATAATTACTAGCTAGCCGCTAGCTGCTAACTGCCGCGGCCGCCTCGTTAATATCAAAATCCATCATATAACAGTCCAGTACCATGCTGTCATGAACGTGCGGTGCCGTTACGTGTACAAATTGACGTGCTTAATGTGAACAAGCCTTTTGGGGGGCGTGGTTAAAGTTGCGCATGCTCTATGAGCGCACATACGGGTACTTCTCAGGCATGACGGGTAATCTGTGACGTTTCGCTCTCTCAAAAGTTGGGCCATTTTATCTTCATGCGCCAATGAGCAGCTCTCATAGGAATTAATGAGGCCCCGCCTCCCACGCTGTATCCAGTTCTTATTATACATCCATGAAGAAGACGGACAGGAAGTAAACATTGAAGGGAACAGCAAAAGAAGACAGACAGACAGAAAGTAAACACTAACGGGAACAGCAGAAGAAGACACACAGGAAGTAAACACTAAAGGGAACAGCAGAAGAAGACACACAGGAAGTAAACACTAAGGGAACAGCAGAAGAAGACACACAGGAAGTAAACACTAATGGGAACAGCAGAAGAAGACAGACAGGAAGTTAACAGCAGAAGAAGAAAGACAGGAAGTTAACACTGAGGTGTAATCAGCTGGATAATGTGTTGCAAGTCATCCTCTGTATATCTCAGACAGGAGGAGTTGTTACCTGCAGTGTGAGGCTGCTCTGTGACGGCCCTGTGGAGCTCCATAAAGACGCGTCCTCCTGCATGGCTAACGTCTTGTTAACAAACCTCAGCATCCCTGTCAGTGAACTCATGTCCCCCTCCACCTCCTCCCCCACCAGGGTGTTCACAGACTCCCTCCTGGACTCACTGATCTGCTCCTCGTCGTCTCCCAGCTGCATGGAGGGAGCTTCCGTGTCTCTTCCATGTTCTTGCGTTTCCACCCTGTATGTAAGAGGGTTGAAGGAGAGGTCAGAGGTCACTGTGGTCTCCACGGCGCTGAGACCCTGCCAGCTGTGGTCCACTGTGTTAGGGAAAGAGGAGCCGGAGGGGGGGGACTCCCACGGATGCTTGCTCAGAGCCTCCTTCAGGGTTTCCTTCAGGCTCAGGGGGAGATCCAGGGAGGAGTCCACGCTGTTGCTCAGCCAGTCGCATGATTGGATGGAGAGACAAGGGGCGGAGGCTGGAGGAAGGTAGGTGTGAGGCGGGGGTGTTAAGCGAGGGTGAGGCAAGTGAGCGTGCTCAGGAGAGGGGAGGGTTGCTGGAGTCTTATGGGGGGAGGAAGGAGGGGAGGAGCTCTCTGAGGAGTGTGTGACTGTGCTCAGAGCGGGGAGGGAGGGGGTGTGGGTGTACAGGTGGTGCTGTCGCTCAGCAGCTCGCTCCAGGCTGGAGATCCTGGCCTGGAGACGGGTCACCTCAGACTCCTGCAGCCAGACCAGAACACAAAGGATTATTAAGGGTCTCCACAGCTTCTTAAACATCACATTCAAGGTTTTATGAAGGTTTTTCCTGGCCCTATTTTCTCAAAGTGAAGGAGCAAACACAGTATAGTTTGAGACATGGAGCAAAGTTAATGACGTCTCTTTCTCGCAACAGGTGGCGCATGAGAAAATTACACAAATGTGGGAGATACTTGCAGAAGGCGTACAAAATAATTAAAGAATGTAGCTTGTTATTATTATTTTCTTAGATTTTTTATAATCTTTTAATGTATTTAAATGTTGTTTTATAATGTGCTTCTGTTGCACTGTGTCATAATAATGCGTTTAATGTATTGCTAATGCTACTCTCAGACTCCTGCAGGTAGACCAGAACCGGTTTGTTCAGGGTTTTTCTTAAACATCAAATATTTCAAATACTTTTCAGGCCCAACTCACTGTAATTCAAGGCCAAAACACGGCAAAGATGGAGACACGAAAGAATGTTAATTCCTGTCACGTGTTTTCTTTGCAGGTGGCCGCATGAAAAGACATTCTCGAGTTATGGGAGAAATGTCAAGTAAAACAATTTCATGATTTCATGACCTGTGGGAACCATGTTTTTTTCTGAATATAATTGAGACAGTTCCATAATGCAACTTTCAGACTTCTGCAGGTAGAAAACAACACATCTTCTTTAACATCAAATTCAAGGACTTTTTACAGGACTTTTCAGGCTCAATTCCCTGAAATTCAAGGACAGCATGATTTGGGACACTGAACACAGTTAATTCCTGTCACATGACATCGTGTGATGTAGCGTTTGATACGATGACAGTACATGGCATATAACACATTTTAAGTAAACTTACTTTATTGCCAAAGAGTTAGAATTAGTATCCATTTTCAAAAACGTTCAAGGCCTTGACCCCACCTCCTTAAGATCACAAGCTTTTAATGATTTCAAGTATCCACTGGAATAATATTTTTCTTTTTTTTAACTGAAAATAAATGTACAGACAATTCAATTTTTTTGTTTTCCTGAACATTCTTAAACCTAAAATTCAAAGACCCAGGCCCATTTCTTTCAAATTCAAGGACCATCATTGTTTGCGAGAGATACAGAATACATCATCTTATTTTAATCACCAATTCTAATATTCAATTTTGTTAGTTCCGGTGACCAAAAATATGTATTTCGAGAAGTCTGGGGCTAACTTGTTTCTTTAGCCTATTTCGGGGAATTATTTTCATCAGACATTATGACCAGATTTTAAATTTGTCGGACTTTAACAGATGTTTTCTGGTCAAAATCAGGTACATATTGGCTAACAGAAACACTGCCGTATACCCTTCCACAATGCAGCTTCCATCACTCTCACTAGAGCACTGTACCTTGATGAGCAGGGACTCGTCGAAGGTCTCCATGGTCCTCCTGGAGGCCTGCAGCTGAGCCTGCAGCTGGGCAGCCTGGACTCTGAAGTGCTGTAGCTGGGTGCTGAGCAGCTCCAGCTGGGTGTGGAGCTGAAGGTTCTGGGCCCGGGTCTGCTGGTACAGGACCCTGCTCTGCTCCAGCTGAGCTCCACTCTGACGGAGCTGCGTCTCAGCCTGGTCTCTCTGAGTTTGGAGGAGACTGGCTTGGCTCCGGGCGCGATCCAGCTCCTCTTTGGTCTGGTCCAGCTGGTTCTGGCTCTGCTGGAGTTTAGTGGCGAGCTGCTCCTGAGATGAGAGCATGGTGGAGGAGATCTGAGAGGACACTTTGAGGAGCTGACCTCGGGTCTGCTGCAGGGACTCCAGCTGGGAGAAGGAAGAACAAGATGAGACAAGTTGGGACTAGTCGCTTGATGTGCTCTCACATTAAAGACGTGGTCAACGTGATGCCACCCGTTAGTCTGTGGAATAAAAATGTGAAAGGAACTATACCAAACTAGAGGCTGTCACCATCTATACCATCTATATAGACTTATATGAACATGCTGCAATGTGTTACAAATATTGTATATTAATATGATATAGAAACGTCACTCCCTTATTTGTACAATACCAACTTATTGTACGGTATATGAGCATGACCTCAAACATTTGAATGTTATCTATTTATCCTACAATATATCAACCTGACCTGGATCATTTATATGCTGTTCACTTATTGTATGATATATGGACATGACCTTGATCATTCTTAATTAGAAAAACGTATCTTACAAAATAACGCCGATTTAAATAAATCCCAAAACAGGTGTAATTTTTAGGCTTTCGTTTAATTGTTTGTATAAACATGACCATTCATTTTTACATTTACGATTTATCGTACCATATATGGACACGACCTAAAGAAAAAAGTAAGACGTGACCTAAATAATGTTGACATTAACATCTTATTGTCGAGTACATATAAACATAACTTGGCCAGAATAAACAGCAGGGTATACTCTACCATTAAAAGACGTTTACCATTTTATTACAGAGACATTGCACATTTTTTTAACAGAGCCTGAGAGTCCATTTCATCTTCTTTGGTTGTTTTTTTATGTATTTGGAATATGTAAAAAAAAAAGAAAGAAAAAATATCACATTCAAGCTCTGAATCTAAATTAAAAGTTAATTGCTCTCAATATAGGTCATTGTTGGAATGGATTTAGATTCCTTGTCACATGATAGGGATGTTTTTGTTCCAAAAGTGTCAATATTTCTAACACATTGCAGCATTCTAGTGTTTGAGCACTCCGTGTGCATGTCTACTTTGACAACAATGGATTTAAGGGCACTTGTATAACCACTATGGCACTTTCACATTGGCTTCACTTCTTCAGATCCAGAGACCATTTCCCCTTTCATACACTCTGTGGGTCCACCTCCTTTCTAAGTTATCAGGTAACCTCAAAGGTTACAGCAGTACAAGGAAGTAAAAACAGCACTATCTTAACTAACAGCAGGAATTAATATGTTATTAGTGTCGGAGAGATAAGGCTATAGGAACAATGGTGTAGTTGACGTTTATAAGGACAAAAAGAGGAAAGAAAACAGATGAAAAGGGAACAACACAAACCCTAAGCCCGTAGATGGGGAGAGAAATGGAGAGCAGACTGGGGGTTTTCCAGTGGCGTCACATTCTACTGATAATGTAATGATGTGAGAGTGAAATTACCAGCTTATCACAGAAATCATTAAGTCTTAGTCAAGAGCAAGAACAACTTAAAGCTTTACATGTTCTTGAACCTGATATACAAACATCAGGTTCATATCAGTATGTAGTGTCTCTACTGTGACATGTCTCCATGCTTTAATGTTCAGAAAGCTCTTAATGTTTCTCACACTGCCTGTGCTGCAGCACCTCTTTTCACCCTCTGTCTGAAACCAGAGTCTGCTCTGATTGGTTAGCTGGCCGGCTCTCTGTTGTGATTGGTCAACCGCTTAGAGATGTCCCGCCTCTTAGATATTAGGTACGAGTGCAAGAAGTCCAATGACGGTGTTTCAGGCAGGGGGGGGGGGGGGGGGGGGGGGGGGGGGGAGTGTGTGGGAGAGAAACTCCCTCTGGAGGGAACACAGGGATTTTAGCCTTTGCAGACCATTTACATGCACTACAACCTAAAGAAGAAAGAACACACTACAGGAAAGGTAAAAGCCTAAAAAAAAAGAATAGGGCCTCTGATGCATTATGTGGAGTCTGAGGACAACATGTATGAAGCCCCACTCCCTGCTGTACCTCCCTGCTGTGCTGCTCCCTCTCCTGCTCCAGCTCCTGCTCTAAAGAGGTGACCATGCTCTGCAGCCCGGCCTCCAACTGCAGCTTCAGAGCCAGCTCCTCCTCCAGCTCGCACAGCCGGGCCTCCTACACACACACACACACACACACACATCCACCCACACCCACACCCACACACACACAACTGGCAGTATTAGTAACAAAAATGTCCGCCTCAACAAGACATTCCATCTCCGACACTACAGGAAAGAAAATACATTGTTTTGCTTCCATAACATGTCGTTTTTCAGACTAGTGCAGAGAAAACGTGCAAAAATGTACATTTAGGTGTATATATTTTTCAAATGTGATTATTTGCCTATGCAGATTTTTCATATATTTGCAAAAAAGCAAGCATTAGATATTTATCCTTTGTGTATTTAAATATACAAAAATGTACTTAAAGAGGCCCCTTTGTGCTTTTTGGGGGTTTTCCCTTTCCTGTAGTGTGTTATATAGGTTTTAGGGCATGTACTGTAAATGGTCTTCAAAAGCAAAAATCCCTCCAGAGGGAGTTTGTAGGACCTTTTTGAACATTAGAGCATGGAGACATGTCACAGTAGAGGTACTTAATACAAATATGGAACCTAACAATTAGCATAACTTGTCCTCTATGATGTAAGTTATCTTATGATATATAGTGGTGAACATTGTCCAACTCATTTAAATGTAGTGTCTCCCCTTAACACCAAATGATAAATAATAATAAATGGTGCTTTTGCTTCACCTTCTCTTTTTTATGCAGCTTGGTGGCGTGCAGCTCTCTGGTTAAATCCTCACATCGACGTTCAGCTTCCTCAAGTTGTTGCTGTATAGTGTGAAGCTGTTGCTGACACACACGCAGCTGCTGATCATGCTCCTGGGACTCCTAACACCATAAATAAACACACACAGTTTGAGGATTAACATTAGAACACAACTCATTTCAGGTAAGTGTCTGTTCATAGTTTGCAGTGTTTGTTTTGAAAGAGAATCTTTGAAAATACTTTTAGGACACCAGCTTACAAGAAAATAGGTTAGGTACAATCATGGCTTGATTGCGTTGATGACAGTGATTGATACACGTTTCATAAAGCGTGTTCCTCCTCTCATATTACAGCTGTGGTAACCAGCAGCTGAACTCACTCCTAAATGGTTGAATCTTTGAATAATAATATGATATCTTTAATACCAGTGTGTGAATATGTGTCATGTTTTACCTTTAAGTTTCAATATAAAGTAATCCTATTTCATCTTAATCTAACTAATATGGTTTTTCCAATAAAGACAATGTACTTACTGTAATTTATTCAAACTTCATAAAAAAATTGTTTTCTATTGTTAATTATGTATTAACATTAAATAAATCCTTAAAAGCCATTTAGCATCACAAAACACTGCAATACAACTGGTGTAAACATTTACTTCCAGTTGATAGCTGCACACCTACTAGACTTGTGAACCAAAGGTTACATATCACAGTACAGATAACACCTATTATCACAAACCTGATTATCATGTATTACTTATAGCTGCTGACTGATCCGCCCTCTGCTAAAGTCATTGCACATACAGTTGTTTTCTTGCTTTCAGTTTTCAGTGAATTGAATTAACCGGTCCATTATGGCCAGGTTTACACAACCTTTCCTCAAATGTTCAGCCCTTTTACTGTGTGTGTGTTTCTGACCTTCATGTTTCTGTGTGTGAGCTCCCTCTGTGTGCCTCTCAGCTCTCTCTCTCTGGCCTCCAGGCTCTGCTGCAGTGACTCCACCTTCCTCTCCATGTCCTGCTTGCGCTCCCTAATGGCCACTTCCAGGTGACCCAGCTGAGGAGTACAGGGCGGGAAACAAGAAAACACAGAGAAGAAATGAGGAAAGGGATGACATAAAACATATATCCAAATCAAATGTAATACACTGCACAATGTGTGTGTGTGTGTGTGTGTGTGTGTGTGTGTGTGTGTGTGTGTGTGTGTGTGTGTGTGTGTGTGTGTGTGTGTGTGTGTGTGTGTGTGTGTGTGTGTGTGTGTGTGTGTGTTTGTGCACGTGCATTGTACCAGCTGTGCTCTCTGTTGGAGCTCCTCCTGTCTCTCCTTCAGTGCACGGTCCATGTCTAAGACCTCTTGAGTCCTCTCCTCCAACTCCCTCTGGGTTTCACTGTAAGGCAACACATACTTTAATGAAACAAATGTGACAGAAAAAAACTGCGCACTGAGTAGTGAGTGAGTGTGTGAATGCATTATTTCATGATAAGGGACTCCATTGCTTATTGTTGGCCTTTTTTTAGGTTGATTTGAGTGCTTACAACGTGAACAAGGGATCATTTTAGGATCCTTTTTGACTTCAAAGAAACTCATGACTGTAGCCTAGATTATTACAACTCTTATGTTCTTCTCTAGAGGGCATTTCTGTACTGAGCGTCAGCATGTCCCTGCTACTGCCTGAGCTCAGTGTCCTCTAAAACAGCAGTTCTTAACCTTTTTAAGGACACGACCCTTAAGCAATAATGTGAGTTTGTGACCTAGTTGTGTAATTTGCTCCAGTCACTGTGGATTTTTGATGACTCTAGTCCTGACTCACTGAGGCCCCGGCCCCACGAGGACATTTGCGTTTACGCCGCGTATGCGTTTTCAAAAAAGTCTTCCGTTCACACGCATTCGATTAATTTAACGTGTCCGTTCACACGAGACTGCTGGAAACGCTGGAAACGCTGTAGTACATATGCCAGGCCTGTAAGTGGCGCTGCTGCCGCCACAAAATACACCAAAAGCAGCGAAGAAGACCCCGCCCCCGGAGCATTGTTGCCATGGTTGCCCTTCTATTTATTCTCCGCGGTGGATGGCGTGTGGAGTCCACCGGTGTTTTTCATCTGCTGGTGGACTAACCAGTGGACTAACCAGTCCACCAGCAGATGAAAAACACCCACCTCTCCGCCTCTTCCAAGGGACGAGGGGACCATGCGGCAGAGTTTCCGTTAACATTTTTTTTCGCCAGTCAACATGTCCGTTAAAGTTGAAATCTGAGCAGGAGACGTGGGGAGAGGGAGGCGGGGCTATTTCATTGTTATCAGAAAATGATCGTATAGAGGTGTAAACAGAGCCGTTTGCCCCCCCAGAGCGTTCCGTTTGCAGATCTATCCACCTTGGGACCCGTTATCGTTTGCGGGGTCCGTTCCTATCGTTTTGTTACGGCCTCGTGTAAACGAAAGGGCTATACGCAAGAGAAACTATGCGGATACAACCCTTATCGTCCTCGTGGGGCCGGGGCCTTATAGTCCGCTGTCAGAAACTCATGTGCAGCACACTTTGACTCTCAGAAATACACTTTTCACAAATCTATTTTGAACAAATGATATCACTGGTAAGGCAATGTAATGTAATAGTTATTTCACAGTCTAAAATATTATTATAAAAACATATAACATATAACATATAAAAATTAAAATAAATATATAAAAATATTTTGCACTGAGATTTTTATATTTATTTATTCAATACTATATGGCAGGGATCACCAAGACAAAAATGTATCCAATAGACACTTTCGCGGACCAGCGATTTTTATATATAGCCCTGAATTTTGAAGTTGTTGTTGAAGGGGGGGGGGGGGTGCTAGTGGAGCACGCTCAGGTACTGCAGAGCGCATAAAGCAGCAGCTGCTGCCTCTCTGTTGGACACTGTTGGGGGGGGGGGGTTGCATGTACTGTGAAGTCACCGGAGCCTCGCAGCGGCGCTACTTCTGCGGAGCGCAGAAAGCAGACTCTTCACGCTAACGAAGGATCACTTCTTCTTCAGGGCAGGGAAGGCTACGCATTACGCAGTCTACTGTCCCGCAGCTGCTGCCTCTCTGTTGGACTCCGGTACTGCACATTACTCACGAGACGTTGTAAAAAAAAAAAAATGAGTGGGGGGTGAACGCACTAACCACTCTGCCAACGCCACAGTCAAACCCGTCGTGCGGGCCGGATGAGAATGTCTGGCAGGCCGGATGTGCCAGTTGATGGTCACTGCTATATGGAGACCCCTGGAATTACCTTAGGACCCTAATGGGGGTCCTGAACCCCAGGTTGAGAACGACTGCTCTAAGACACTAATATGGGAATGAATGATGGGACTTGTGAAATATTTGTGTTTCTTTTCTATAAAACATTTTCAATCCTTCATGAGTGCTTGGTGTACAATAGCTGCACAAAGTGTGTTACACAATGTATGTTATTCAAACATACACACTTTTTTATCTGATGTTTTAAATAAATATGTCTAACATTAGAAAACCAAAACATGTGTAAATTCACCCAGCAAATTACAAAATACATTACAATACAGTACACAATGGGCCCTATTCTGCTCATGAAGCAGTATCGTGTGTGGGAGAGAAACTCCCTCTGGAGGGAACACAGGGATTTTAGCCTTTGAAGACCATTTACATGCACCGAAACCTATGACACTAAAGGAAAAGGAAACCCCAAAAAGCATATCAGGGGTTATTTACAATAACAATCTGAAATTCATATTATATGATATCATGATTTCATCTGAGAACACAGATTTAGCCACAGCATCCAGAAGTCATACATTCAAAGTGTGAGCTGAAGTGGGGCTCTGGGGCAGTGAGGCTCCATGTGTGTCAGTTTGTGACTTTGTGATACAACATGTACAATGTTTACATTGATTCACACCTCGGGCCGATGCAGTGCAGGATTTTCCTCTGAGCAACAACACATGGACGTCATCTCCACGTGAGGCTCGTCCCTTGTTCCTGTGAGCAGAAGGATATTTCACACGAGGGCGTGACCTCACCTAAGTTGGATTGTCAGTTTTTCCACCGAGGCTTGCCTCTCGTCTGCGGTAGTTTGGGTTCTCTGCAGAACGTCTCGGAGTTCCCGCAGCTGCTCCAGAGTCTCGGTCAGCTCGGTGCGCACCGCCTGCAGCTGGCCCTCCAGGACCTGCAGCCGCTGGGAGACGTTGCTCCTGTCGGCCTCACAGCGGTGCAGCTGCTCCTCCAGGTCCATCACTGGAGGGGCAAGAAGGAAACATTACTTTATGCACATATATGCAGTTTTTAAAGCAAGCGCAAACCCACTAAAAGTAAGGAATATACTTCCTCCCCATGCTAGTAGAAGATAAGTATGTTTTTCTTCTAGTGTTTCACCTTCAGAGTCATAAATGCCCCAGAAAGGAGGGTTAGTAAAGGAGAATGGTCCTTTCTTATTAAGTGTCTCTTTCATTCCCTTAAACCAGAGTTGCCGATTGTTGGAGCAGTGAGAGACTCATAAAGCTGTTTGGTTGAGTTTTATTTTTGGTTCTGTCGAGTTTGAATTGTGTTTGACAAAATGAACCGTGAGATAAAATTACAGTTTTTGACAATGGATTCTGGTGACTGTGAGGAAAGTATATAATGGGAATAGGATATTAAGAACGGTTTGATGAGTTGTATTTATAATGATATGATAGTTTGAATGAAGTGCGTGACACGATGATTACTGAGGTAAAATGGATGTTTCTGTCAATGGAGTCTGGTGGCTTTGGGCACAGCCCATAACTGTTTCTTTTCACATCTAACTTAATTAAATAAAAATGTATTTAAACCAAACCAGAGTTTGAGATTGTTAGAAAAGTGCAGAGACAAATAAATGTGGTTTTATTGAGTTGTATTTTCGCTTCTCTTGAGTTTGAATTGTGTTTGACATGATGAACAGTGTGTTTAAATACTGTTTCTGTCTAAGGAGTCTGGTGGCTTTGGGCACAGCGAAAACAGCTGTTTCTTTTCACATTTTACTCTGTGGATAATATTTCTTTAACTCACCAGAAAAGGAGATTGTTGTGTAAAGACATTTGAAATACGAACAAAGATAGTTTTCATTTGTTTAATTGTATTCCCTGAGAACTTTAAATGAAGTGTGTTTCATCATTATCAGAGAATGTCTATCTCTTGAGTCTGTAAGTAGCGTGTAAGTTCCATCACTGAGCGTATCCGTTTCCTACCATGACTATAGCCGAGTCACTTGTCCCGGGAATGAATGCTGATTGTAACATTTCCATCTACAGACAAACGCCTGATGTTAGTGGCTTTCTGTCCAGTGGGAAAGGAGGTAAGTTCCACCGATTTAAAAACCAGAGCCGCGTCGGCTTCTACGGTCTCTTCTCTGAAAAATAAAAACATGTCAAAACGTACCCGTGTCACTCTTGCTGTTGAGCAGGCTCCTCAGCTGCTGCAGGCTTTCGTCCATGCAGCTGATCTGAGAAGTCTTGACGGTGACATCCCTCTGCAGGCGATGCAGCTCCGAATCTTTAGAAACGAGCTCCCCTCGACACTTTACCATCTCTGATTTCAGATGGCTGCAGTAAGCACAAAGAGGAAACACATACAAACAATCATCAGTGGGTTTGTACAGCAACCAAAAGGGAAGAAAATAAGACATACGAAGCCTAAAGCAGTATGCACGTGGCATTGTTCCTGCGGCGACATGTCCATTTCCTCACCTCACTGTAAGCATGGCCCCCATGGTAGACTTAAAGGAAGGAAAATCCCTTAGAAAGTGTTAACTGAGCAATGCAAACATGCCCTCTGATGCCATGTTTAAACCACCAACAGGCTTTGGGAGCATTCAAAAGGTCACAAAAAGAGAAATAACCAGCAGAACTATGGAATGAGATAACTCCACAAACACCAGGCTTCTATCTCACAGTTTCAAACTAAGATCGCTATTTATATAATTAAGGGTGAGAGGAGCAGGGAGGGAGGGCTGCTTCATGCCTGCAGACAAATGGGATGTGGTGTAATCATAAGACTGTCCCACAGACTGCTGAGGCGTTTGATTGCCTTTGCTGCGGGTCAAGAAGAACAGCACGCAAAAAAACATTCTGTTAAAAATAGCAACAAACAAAAGCCCCACACAAAGAGTGCACCAGTGAATGCTGGGAAATACACTCGGCACTACAAGTTTGTAACTTCAGGCTATTTTCTTAAAACAGAAAATGGAAAAGAGACTACATTTTGATTTTTCCAACAAAAAAAAGTTAAAGGAACATTGTATGCTTTAAGTGGCGAGGAGCAGGGCGTCATTGTATTCTTGGTAAAATACTATGATGCTGCTAGAAAAAACACTATGGATGGAATAGATAAGACTAATGTTGCCCTATTCTGCTCATTCTCAGGTTCATATCAGTATGTAGTGTCTCTACTGGGACATGTCTCCATGCTTTAATGTTTATTTATCTTTCTCATCCTGCCTGTGCTGCAGCACCTCTTTTCACCCTCTGTCTGAAACCAGAGCACAGTCTGCTCTGATGACCGCTTAGAGAGGTACCGCCCCTTAGCCTATCACGAACAATGGGGAAGAGAAAACACTAAAAAGCAGAATAGGACCCCTTGAAGGATACAGGCTTACCGCTGAATGACTGTTTCTGATGACAGCGGATCAGACTTTTGACAGTTTGTTTCCGCACTCATGTACCCTGTGCTAATACCAATAAATGCTAACAGTAATTGTAACATCAGTAGCAGCAGTCTGTTACTTGTTTAACAAAAACCTGCACACAAATAACACCCTGCATTATGTCTTTATACTGGGTCCTGCATGTTTGAGACCCAAGAACCATTTCTACTGACAGAATGCATATACAGTATATGCCTGTTTAGACTTTATTAGAGAATGACAGTGTTGAAAGGGGGCTATAGAGGGCATGAAATGCACATGTACTAACCTACGTCAGTACATGGGCCGCAAGATCTAACCACTGTGCTATGGGGCGGCCTGATTGTGATCTCTTTTGAACACCGGAAAATATTTATTTAGCTTAATGTTTCAGGGAAAGCGGAAATGTACTCCTGTAAACTGACACAAGGATTGATCTAATTATAAGCCTCACGTGTATGGGCTCAGAACAGTCTCATAATACACACATGCACACAGAAGGATTCACACTTGTATTTCCGGATCCACACTTGTGTTTTTCAATGCACACACAAATGTGTTCCGTTTCATATACATGTAAATAAAATCCAAATACAGAAAAAAGTTTTACATATGTATTTTTGATCCTCACATATTTGTTTTCCGTTTAAAACCCCTGAACCTGCAAACACAAACCGCTTTCTGTGCATGGATCGCTGTGCATTCGTGTGTGGGTTTTTTGAGACTCCCCTGACGGTCACCCGATTCGTACTTGTAATTTTTTCTATCTATAGCCAATCAGATGTCTCCTTCATTCTAAGCCAATCACATGAGCGCGTCCCCACGAGGGTATGATTTATTGCGTTCATGAGACTTCATATACGCATTTTGCGCTGTCCGGAGCAGGGTTTCCGCGGACAGAATTTATTTTACCGGACAAATTTGAAACTTACCGGTCATGTTTCAATAATAATAATAATAATAATAAGAATTGTGTAGCAGAGTTTCCGTTAGCAGGTAATTACCGGACTATGACCGGATATGGCTAATAACACGGGAGTAAGGATCATCTCTTTTCCTCTCTCCCTCCCTCTCTCCTGACAGCCCGTCAGTTTCTCATGCAGCTCGCGAAAACTTCACTCGCGTTTATGTCCATATCGATCAGATCCAGCTCTCCTGATAGGCCTTTATAGAGAGCACCGATCAAACTATTAAGAGTGAATATCGGCCGATAATGACCGGCGGGGCTCCCCCCGTTGACAGTTCACTGTCTAGCACTGGCTTCGTAGGGTACTGATCGATTAGGCTAAGCTAACCTGTAGCTGCTCCCTCCACACTCACAACAACTTCATACAGACATAAAGCAGCTGTATTCGCCATACAGGAAACACACATTTAAAACGGTTTTGCCTGCCGTTTTTGTGTACACAAGCATTCATTAATGGTTCGGAAAGTGGCACTGTACCTTAATAATATAAAGGCTTGTATTTGCGTGCATTTCCTGCTCGGAAAGGCGCAATGTACTGAGAGTGGAAGTGTCCTGAGATTAGCGCCTGCAGGCAGGCTCCATGGACCTGTCAGCTCCGGACAGCGCAAAATGCGTACATGAAGCGCTACGTCATGAACGCAAGAAATCTACCCTCGTGGGGGCGCGCTGATGTGATTGGCTTAGAATTGAGGAGACATCTGATTGGCTATAGATAGAAAAAATTACAAGTACGAATCGGGTCACCGTCAGGGGAGTCTCAAAAAACCCACACACGAATGCACAGCGATCCATGCACAGAAAGCGGTTTGTGTTTGCAGGTTCAGAGGTTTTAAACGGAAAACAAATATGTGAGGATCAAAAATACATATGTAAAACTTTTTTCTGTATTTGGATTTTATTTACATGTATATGAAACGGAACACATTTGTGTGTGCATTGACAAACACAAGTGTGGATCCGGAAATACAAGTGTGAATCCTTCTGTGTGCATGTGTGTATTATGAGACTGTTCTGAGCCCATATGTGTGAGAATGAATGGAAATGATGATGTATTGATGACAAACTTTCACACTCACTCTGAGTGACGTTTGTCCATAGAAAAAGGTGTGTGTGTGTGTGTGTGTGTGTGTGTGCGTGTGCTTCTCACCCCACACTCTCTGCCAGCTGTGTGTTCTGCTGGGTGACCTCCTGCAGCTCCCCCTCTCTCCTCTGGACGTCCTGCTCCCTGCTCCTCACCTCGCCCTGCTGAGACGCCCGGGCCCGCTCCAGCTGCTGCTCCACACTGGACACCTGCACACAAACACCACATTTATTTCAGCCATTATTCACTGTTCTATTGTACCAAACTGGAGAGATCTAAGGACTGAAATTAAGAAAGACAATAAAGAAACCCTGGCCCAACAAATTCATTATTTTAAAGTAACATTGTCTTGCTTACAAAGACCTACGGAAGAGCATTAGGGTCAAATGAAACATTTGGTTTATTTTGCATTTGTTTTGAGTTGTCAGTATATGTGCTTAACCTAATAGTTTGATTTATTCTAACCATGTATTTTATTCTTGAGGTCTTTGTTCTCAAAAAACCTTTTCTCAATATTTTCAATTTATTCTCACCATTTCAGCTTTAACCGCAAAACGGAAAATAAATCCTGCTTCTTATTTTTTTGTACTTCATGTCTTGCCCTCATACCCTTCTGTTTAGGCCTGACTAGCGATCAGAACAGAGATGAACACGGTCTCATCCTTTAGGCAATCTGTTGTCTAGTGTGTTAGCAGGGTCCCTCTTCTCTACAGAGAGGCTCCACATTACTCTCCCTGAGCTCACTGAATGGAGACTGTTGTCCTCTGTTTGTTGTGAAGGACAGAAAGTACAACCAGCTCCTAAAATGTGCTGAGCCGGAAAATAAATCTCACGCTAACACAGATATATTCTTTCAAGCAATGACAGTGATTCAGTTACAGTTTTTATCAGTGAACTTAATGTCTTATGTCATTAAATAAAAAGCATTTTGCAGTATTTCTGTCACCCTCTAAAGATGGCCAACTGGAAGGCTTGAACAAATCATTAAAAGCCAAGATAAGAACACTTAATAACAGTTAATTAATCACGTGCATTGATCTTACACTTTCAGAGAAACAAGCCTCTGGAGAAACACTAACTAAAGGGGAAAGTGCTTTATTTATTTTTTAAATAGAAGAAGATTCAAAGGCTCTATTGTCATATGCACAATAGCTTCAGCGTAGTTTTGGTAGAACCATCTTAAGAGCCAGGTGGCCGACAGGTGCAAGCGCATAACAACGGCCCAAAACATTTCCATTAGGAGAAACGCTCTGCAGTTTCAAAAACGATTCAAATATAAAAACACAAATGTGCCAAAACACATGCAAATGGAGAACTCTATTCACCAACTTGAGCACACATGCGCAGCATTTAGAAGACATTCACCAACTTGACGAAACATGCACACAGTTGACTGAAAACGCTGCATAGAGTGGCGAAGTCACGCCCATCTACTTCCGCCCCATGGGACCTTATTTCGGAAAAATAATGTATTGAAGTCAATGGAGAGAGAAAACTTATCTTTCGATCCCGTTTGAATTGTGCCATGAATTACACATATGATGTTTGTCAATCTTAAAAAATCATTTCCATGTCAAAAAAGTCACAGTTTGTCGTAAAACTGTTGAAATATAAGACTATGAAAAATACGCAACTAGAAAGACTACAAATCCCAGAGTCGCGTAAGTGATGTCACAATTGTTTTCCTACACTAAGAGATAGCTAAGATCAGCGCCATATAGATATAATCTATCTATATGGCGCTGGCTAAGATAAGATAACTTTAACAAGATGCCTGTGTGCTTAGTACCAGGTTGTTATTATACCAGCAATGGGTCTTGCTCGTTCTTTCGCTTCCCGTCTGATGAAAGGACCAGGAGTGTCTGGATCAAGCTAGCTAGTAGTTAGCACGTTAGTTAGCATTACAGCCGTGTCATTTGTATTAGCCTTAACATGAAGTAACATTAAGTAACCCAAAATGTTAAACAGTAAGAGTAGTAGTCATATTTCGTGAACCTTTTGAAGAGTACTGTCACCGGTGTGATCATTCTATAATACACAATTTAAGCCCGGGGGAGAAATGCTAACGCTAACACTAGCATCGGCGATCTTCTCTACTTCATGCTATCTGCACAAATGGTTGACATTAAACATTAAAACGACCAGGCAGTTCAGAGAGAATCAAAGGAAGGCAGGCAGGCAGCTTTGCATGACATTCTTCAGGACGTGTTTCATTGTGGTGATAGTGAGGGTAGTCAATCGTTTTGTTGACAAGACAGTAGTGACAGCCATCTTGGTGACGTGTGTTGTTGACCAGAGATGTAGTTCATTGAGCGTTTCACACAAAAAAAAGTGTTACTTCACAGTTTTACGACACATTTTTTTTTTTTTTTACTTGCAAAATTATCTTTTAAATTGACAAACACCATATGTGTAATTCGTGGCACAATTCAAACGGGATCGAAAGATAATCTTTCTCTCTCCATTGACTTCAATACATAATTTTTCCGAAATACGGTCCCATGGAGGTCTTCGCCACTGAAAAAAATGCTGCAAGAAGCTAAAAACCAAACAGAAACCAGGGGACACTAAAAAGTGTGACACAGCTGGGAGCGGAGCGCTTGATGACTTTCTGGGATTATAAAGTTGGAAACTGTCACTGTTGGCAGGGTTTTTCATAATTGTATTTGTTTGTCAGTATATTTGAAATGACTAGGTTATCTGCGTTAGCTAGCTAGCTTACAGCAGATCTGCAATAATAGCAATAATGTGATCATGTGATCACATTTTTTGTTCAAGTTTTGGCCAGCATACTCGGCACCTCGAACAATGCAATATAGAATATAATTGAGACATAAAAATACATTTTTTAAAATGCAAGAAGAAATAGAAATGTAAAAGAATGACACTATGGTGCATTGCTTTTGACGAGGAGCCTTCTTTGGATAATTCTGAGCTGACTGCAATAACCTAAATGGTGGTGAAGATAAAAACTCCCATAATGCTACGCTACATCCTAGCAAAAAATAGATATTATGCATTTGACTTTCTCCAGCTGACCTGTTCCTGCAGCTGGCTCTGACTCTCCTCCAGCTCCGAGATGTGAGCAGAGCTCTCGGTCAGCATGCTCTGCTGCAGCTGCAGAGAGAGCTGCAGCTGCAGGTTCTGCTCACCAGAGCTCTGACACACCAGGGTGGTGCTGTGGAGCTTCTCCTGCAGGGAGGACACCTGAGGAGGGAGGAACAGGGGGGAGGAACAGGGGAGAGGATCAGGGTTGCATAAAGAAAAGGAGAGGAGAGAAGACCGAGATATTAGTGTGTTCACGCTGTACCTTGTCTTTGTTCTTCTGCAGCTCACTCTCATAGTTCTTCGTCACCTCCTCCATCTGCTGCAGGTAGAAGACCAGCTCCTCTCTGCACTCTGACAGAGACGTCTGCAGTTCACTCACCTGATGTACAAACACATGGAAGGTGCTTACAAGTGTTTATGCTGGAATTCATTAAATATATCAGATGGATCATCTAAAAGGTCCAGTGTGTAAAATGAAGTGGCATTGTGCAGCAAGGTCGCAGAGTGTAACCAACTGGATCCTCCGCTCACCCTTCCCTTTCTAGACGTGTAGAGAATTGGCCTTTAGGTACCGCATACACGTGAAAAGACCTCTCTGGAGTGTGATTGGTTTGTCCGTTCTGAGCTACTGTAGAAACATGGCAGACTCTGTGAAGAGGACCTGCTCCATATGCAGATATAAAGGGCCCTATCTAAGCTAAAGACAGCACCAGGACTCTTGGTGAGTGTACACAAATACAAACATAGCATAGTGTTTTCCATTTCTGCCAATAGATCCCCTAAATTCTAAACACTGGCCCTTTTAATCTCACTGTTTGTCTTTGGTAACATGTCTTTGGTAACATGTCTTTGGTAACATGTCTTTGGTAACATGTCTTTGTGCAAACCTTGGTGGCAGACTGAGTCGCCTGCTCTTCCAAACTCTTCAGCAACTCCTCGTTGTGTTGCACTTCATCCTGCCTCTGCTGTAATTCAATCAAAAACAAATAGAAAACACCTGGATGAAAAAGGTAACATCTTTCAACCAACTTCAGTCCTTATTTTAACTTTCACATTTTCATTCAATATCACTATTTTAACTCTTAAAAGCCCATTGGTCCATAAGACAAGTGCTTCAGAAAACCCCAAAATATCATGTTTTTGTCCCATAGGACAAAAGATGGCTACATATGCTTGAAATTATTCAAAACTATTGTTTTGAAGCCCTTGCTTCAGATGGAAAGCTTGATATATTACAATGTATGATTGTATGATGTAATGGCCGTGGGATAAAACATTTTGGTGACATTTTGGACCAGTTAAGCCCCGAGCCTGTTTTCCAGGTCTCAGGCTCGAAAATGACATTCCCAGAACAAATGACTATATCTTCACTTCTAAAAGGGGTAAATTAATAATATTTTTTCTCAAAGCAACGATAAACCTGTGAGTTGGATGTAGTAAAGTCAGAATCAATATAGATTTTTTTTATTTTAAAGTAAATTCAGATTGAACATAGTAAAAAAATGTAAATGATAGTGTCCGTCCAAAATAAAAACATTACTTATAGTGAAAACCACCCTTGAATGATGGGATAGTAGACTAAAAGCTTTAGGAATCCAAACTATAACATATAATAAGTACCCTGTATCAAGATTGATGCAAAACAAGTGACATTTAACCTTTTTAGAGAGGTTTAGCCAAACAAAAACCACCTTTGGGGTCATTTGGGTGGATGTGGGTGTATTTGCCGTTTCTCTGGAACCCATTGGTCAATTTTGATGATTGACATCTCTTTTGAACCGTTAGAGCCAATAGAATTGAAGGGAAAGTTCCATATACACACACACGTTACCATTGAGAAGTGAAAGCTATGCGCACGCAGTCGAAAGCTATTTTACGCTCTGAAATCTGAAAACTAGGTTTATTGCTGATGGATTATCAGTAATCATTTCAAAGTGACACAGACACATTGGATTAACCATTGGATTAACCTTCAGCAGCGTTTTTATCGTTTTAATGCCATTGAACACAACTTTTGATCAGAAACAGCAAAAGGTAAGACATATTGCCGTTTTTCCTCCGTAATGCTACGTGTTGCGAAGTCTGGTTTTGTTTCCCATGTCGCGAGTTATGATCGTACAGTGATGATACTAATACCTGTAGATCTGTGGAATCTCAGCTTGCTAATCGATATCTTGTTTGTGCAGATACGATAAGTAATAAGGGTATTTTAACGTGAGTTCTGTGCTAAGTGTGTTAGCATTTTTTCGCTCAGGGCTCATTTAGACGCTTCTTGTGAGACTTGTGCTTTGTTTCGGTAAAAATGGTTCGTATCGTCAGTTAGCTGAGTTTCTTCCCGTTAAGTGGGTATGACACATTAATAGGTTTTTAAATGTTAAGAAGCCCTGAGACACAGTTTTGTGAAGAAAAAAAACCGCAGCCCCCTGTACCGGGGGCTCTCTGGCTTAACAGGTTAAGGGTCTTTTGTAAGTGTTTGTATTTTAAATACACACTTTATTGAACTTTAGCTAAGGTAAAGAATCCTAAATTAAAATAAATTGAAATGAAAACCAGACCAGAATCTATGCCATATGCATTAAGCCAAAGTTATCCAAAGATGAAAAAGACAAACATTTCCCTAGTGAGGCACAAGGGTCAAAGTAGTTGTAGCTTAATCTGAAATGGTTCCTGTGCTTGCCCCAGAGAAGGTGGAAATGCACAGATATGCTTCTACATAGTGTAAGACTGTCCTGACCTGTGTGAGTTGTTCCACAGAGCTCTGCAGCAGGAGAGCCACTTCCTGAGCCTTGTCTCTCTCCGTCTGGACCGAGCTTAGATTCTGCTCCATCTCCAACACCCGAGTCTCAGCCTCCTCCACACACAGCTGAAGCTGCAGAGGACAGGAAATACAGAGTTTATAGGTGGAAATGTAGCCGACTAAACATAGATGGGATGAACAAATAAAGTGATGAATGAAACAGAATCAGGTGGGGTGTGGGGGGGCTGCAGAGTGGAGAAGTAGATCACCATTTCTATTCTGTGCTGATGCTCAGTCAGTTGGTGCGATTGAGAGTTTTTACAGTTCTCCAAAGACTGCTGGTGCTCCTTCTGCTTTTTACTCATCATTGACTGGTAATGCTGAACAGTGGCCTTTTTCTCCTGTAATTACAAAAAGAAAGACACTAAATAACAACGTTTTTTCGGCAAAAAATGTAAATGGTGGCGTTAGAGAATACATTTAGCATGTTTAAATGATAACCTGTGTCATGTAAGAAACACATTAAGATCGACAGATTGTTTTCAAAGACCTTGTATGTATATTTTTATAAAACATACATACAAGAGTCAACAAAACCATTAATACAAAAAGTTGCAATTTACATCCATGTGGAGCCAATATATATGTATCACTTCATCCTCTCTAATAATGCTATTAGGAATGTGTGCTAAATTGTCATAACTTAGCATGCATGAGGAATGGCCCGATTGTGTTTTGTGAGCTTGACCTTTGGCCCGGAGGCCATTTGTGTCAAATTCAAACAAAATGTGCTAGAGGCGTGAAAGGAAGGCTTAGAGAGAGAGAGTGAGTGAGTGAGTGAGTGAGTGAGTGAGTGAGTGAGTGAGTGAGTGAGTGAGTGAGTGAGTGAGTGAGTGAGTGAGTGAGTGAGTGAGTGAGCGAGCGTGCGTGCGTGTGCGTGTGCGTGTGCGTGCGTTACCAGTAGCTGATTCTCCAGCTCGGTGTTGGTCAGAGCAGCCTGACTGTAAGCAGAGGTCTTCTCCTCTAGCTGTTTCTCCAGCGCATTCACACGTGCACTTTTTCTTTTCAACTAGAGTAAAACAGAGGTAAAGAACAATGAGTAAGAACCTATAATCGGCTCTAACCTTTTTTTTATATTGACAATATGCTTATTTTTCATGGCCGAGATGGCTTTTGTGAAATCCATGAAAAATAACAAACGAGTGATCGTAAAAATGCTATTTGTATTATCAATGCTCTGAAATAATAGAGACTGGATTTGGGAAATCAGGCTACGTGCAAAAGTTTGAAGATCCCCTTACCTTAAAACATTGTTTTTCTTATATTTAGAGTCAGTAAGATATCTGACCTTGACTAGTGACTTATATTTAGTCTGTCACTAAAGTTGTGGCCTGCTGAGAGGGTGGCGTCCGTGCACTCAAATCTGAGATTCAAAAGAACCCCAGGGAAACTTATTTAGACATTGTATAGCTCCCTTTACCTTTACCTACAAATTGACAGGAACATTTTATTTTTGATGTGGTAGACCCATGTTTAATATAATACGGGTCTGGATACAGTAAAATACATCAAAGAAATGATGAAGAGGATGACAGAGAGGACCTGAAACCTCACCTCCTTCTCTTTGTCGGTGGTGTGGCTGACTCTGTCCAGCAGCTCTGAGTGGAGGCTCTGGTAGTGGGAGGCTCTCTGGGCCATGGCGCTCTGCAGGGTGGAGGTCTCCTCCTGGGACCTGCTGAGACGCTCCTGCAGCCGCTCCACCAGGCTGCTCTGTCTGCTCCGCTCTGCTTCCATCAGCTGCAGGGCGCGCAGCAGCTGCTGGTAGCCTTCACCTGCCAGGGGGGCCACGGGGAAGAGAGGACAGGAATTACTCTTTATAAAAAAATTATATATGCAATTTTTTTCTACTTTCACATTTTAACAACAAAAATCTATTTTTCTTTACAAGGTAAGGCGAAATTGTAGGTTGGAGGCGCTCGATAAGCTTTTTTCTCTGTTGTATTTGTAATAATCAGACGTCCGATTACTATCATCCTTCATTTTAATAAAATAGTACAGTTAGTTCAAATGACTAAGATTGAAAACAAATTGAAATTCATTGACCTTGATTACAATAAAATTATTATAGGTTTGAAAGATGTTTGAAACAGGAGGGGGAATGGAAATGTAAATACTTAAATGTATAAAAAATATAACTTGGGTCTAGTCATGTTTACACACATTTAACATATTACACCTTTAATTACCATGCAAGATTTAAATAGTTTCATTCTTTCCCCTAGAGGTGACAAATACATGTACTCAAGTACTGTACTGTACTATTTTGAGATACTTTTATTTTATGCTACTTAGTACTTCTACTCCACAATTCAGAGGTACACGGTGTACTTTTCCTCCACTACATGTATTTAATACCTTTAGTTACTTTACAGATGTGGATGAATGATGTGAAATATAACCAAGTGTTAAATCAGACTTTAGTTCCACCTGGAGTAAATTCACAAGCTACCCTGCAGTATACAAAGTCATTCAAACTAGCTGCACCTTTACCAGCTTTGAGAACACTTTCATGATCAATCATTATAAAACATATCATATATATTATTCTGAAATGGACCAATCTGCACAATGACTACTTTTACTTTTGGTACTTTAAGTATATTTTGATCCTAATACTTTTGTACTTTTACTTGGGGAACATTTTGAATGCAGGACTTTTACTGTAACAGAGTATTCCTACACTCTGGTACTTCTACTTTTACTCAAGTACAAGATCTGAGTACTTCTACTTTTACTCAAGTACAATATCTACTTCTTCTACTGCTTCCACCTCTGCTTTCACCTCATGAGCAAAAGGTATGCAGAATGAGCTTCTCATTCTTACTCCATGAAAAGTGGTGTATATAGTGTCATTTAAAAGGACCTTGCAAGGGGAGGCAGAGTCTTCAAATGCCCAGAAAACTTCACATCTCAGTTAACTGACATGATAACTCCGAGGTCTCAGCATACCTGGCTTCAGATTCAGTAGGTGTGCAGTTCCTGAATAGTCCACTGGGGGAAGCATGCAGGGCCTGACACACAGCGTCCCCACCACACCCTGAAATAAAAAGAAACAATATTAGACAATAGTGAACACATCCTTAGTGATAAAAATACAGGCTTAACGGATTTCATGTAACGAGATTAGTTAATCAGCATTCAAAAAAATTATCACTGTATTCCATTACAATAACATTAAAAAAAAAAGGAGTAATCAGATTACTGTTACATTTTTTTTAAATGGGGACTACTAGCAGGATTATCAGGGTATAATGTGTTTTATGATAAAGAATTATATATTATAGGAAGATATACTGTCTGAATTTATTTTAGCTTTACATTTATGCTACTTTTATTTATTTTAATGTGGACACCTGATTTATAAAACAAAAATACTGTGTTTGCTTTTAAAGGTGGGGTAGGTAATTTTGAGAAACCGGCTCGAGATACACTTTTTGTTAAATTCCATGGAATGCTCTTAACATCCCGATAGCAATGAATATCTTAAGTGCTTTGACAAAACATCCATTAAAAAATGTCATCTGTGGAAGCCGTAGTACTGTAAAAAGCACGACCAATCATTTTCACCGGCCCGGCTAAAATAACTGGATGGCCTACCTGCCTGTCAGCCTTCCATCGGTGCACAAACTTATCTCGTGCCCTCATTGGTCATGTGCGCGTTCGTGTGTGTTGGAGGAGGGGCTCTATAAGGAAGTGGCAGATTTTCTCCGGTTGTGTATTTTCAAATTCTAGCGATCTCGAGCTGGTTTCTCAAACTTACCTACCCTACCTTTAATTAATGTGTTAAATAAAACAGCATTTGTCAACTATACTATTCTGTAAACCTAAAATATAAGAGGACACATTTTTGATACAAAATGTCTTATTTTCTAAGGTTCTGTTGTGTTACTTAAAACACTTAAGTAAAAAACATCTTATTGATATTTATCTTCTCTTGTATTTATTTGCAATGCATTAGACATTGAGGTAATCCAAAAGTAACGGAAAGCAATCAGATTACATTACTTTTATATTGTGATACTCAATACTATTTTGATAGATTAGGTTACTGAGTACTTCTTTCTTTTGAACAGGTATTGAGTAATTGTAACAGATTACATTTTGAAAGTAACCCTCCCAACCCTGTTAATATAGCAACTAGTTTTGGACATTCCCTGGTACACCAAAGCAAATAACTCATGATGTAACCATGAGGTCACTGTTGCAGACTTCACAGAATCATGGGACATTAGGTCACAAACAACACTGTGATTTGTGTATAGTACTCCTATGGACCTCTCGTAGATGCAGCAGGGTCAGCGTGGCCTCCAGGCCGGCCAGCTCCGCCTCCCTCTGCTGGGCCTCCCTCTGGCTCTGCTGGGCCTCCCTCTGGCTCTGGACCAGGCTCTGCTCCTGCCTCTGGGTCAGAGTTCGCAGGTTCTCCAGATCTGTTCGCAGAGAGGCCAGCTCCCTGAACTCAGCGCCCCGCTCCGTTAGCTGCCGTTCCAGGTGTAAGGCCTTTCGTCCGGCCTCCTCCAGCTGAGCCTGCAGGCCAGCAGCTGCAGACCTGGCCTGCCGCGCCTCCTCCGTCAGCTGGCTGCAGGCAGACAGGGGGTCATTGGGGATAGAATGTGTTAGCAAGCAAATCAAAGCTTTTTTTTCTCAAAGATTTGACTGATAATGACAAAAGGTCAGAAAGCCACCTATGTTTTTCTGTTTCTACAAACATAAAATAAGGTTACGTACCAGATTGTCTGACTCTGTTCGACCTTTCCCCTCTCCAACAGAGAGCACTTCACCTCCAACTGCTCCTTCTCTCTGTCACACTCAATGAGACTCTCTTTCAGTTTGCTCTCACTCTCCATCACCTTGAAAACACAAAGAAGGAATGGCATTTTTGGCATTAATGTGGAACATTAAAGCAGTCATTTAAAAAATATATATATATATTAAAATATATATATGAATATACTGTTCTTTAAAGAGGCCCTATTATGCTTTTTGTGGTTTTTCCTTACCTGTAGTCTGTTCTATAGGTTTGTGTAAATGGTCTGCAAAGGCTAAAATCCCTGTGTTCCCTCCAGAGGGAGTTTCTCTCTCACACACTCTCCCCCCCTGCCTGAAACGCCTTCATTGGACTACTTTGTTTGCTATCATAACATAGTGACATCACTATGTAACACTTGCGCTTCTATTGGCTAGTGCTCCAACACATTGTATTGATAGGCTAAGGGGCGGGACATCTCTAAGCGGTCGACCAGTCACAACAGAGCCAACCAGCTAACCAATCAGAGCAGACTGGGCTCTGGTTTCAGACAGAGGGTGAAAAGAGGTGCTGCATCACAGGCAGTGTGAGAAAAATAAAGAGCTTTCTGAACATTAAAGCATGGAGACATGTCACAGTAGAGACACTACATACAAATAAGAACCTGACAATGAGTAAAAAGGGCCCCTTTAATAATTAAACCATTAAAATAAATAATGTTTACCCTCTGAAATGTTATAGAAACAGTAGCCCTATACTCTTTGAAGGCTTCTTTGAGTTTCTCTGCATTTTGAAGTGCTTGGTTCCTTTGTTGCTCAGCCCTGTAAGGGATGAGAGAGAGAAAAGGTCATTAACAAAAACTCTAACAATAACTAATGGAAAAGTCAATCAGAAATATCAATAGAGTATGTGATTTTTTTCAACTTGAGATCCTAGTATGTCCCTTCATTTAGTTCAATTAAAAATTAAAAAACGTCAAAACAACAGGTACCACTAGTTATGAGAAAAATCATAGTGTTGCAGATACATTTGAGGTTTATGTAATTTCCCAAAATGTAAGAACTGTGATCTGTAATGTAATAAAATGAAACTGTGTGCGGTACCCAGACAAAATTCAAAGAATCACCGTTTGCACAGAGCTGTCTTGGTGTCCAGCTCTTCTCTGAGCGCGCTCACGTCCTCCGTGAGATTCGCCACCAATATGTCACTGTGGGCGGCTGCTTCCTGACTGCAGTCTGCCCTCAGCTCTGTTGCCCTGGAAACACACGGCACAGGATATTAAAGATAGGTTTGATAGGAGGTTAAGTGAACAGTATAATTTAAAGATAAAATGGAAATAATTGAAAGCCACTTCAAGCATGCCTAATTAGAGTATTTACAGGAATACATCAAGGGTATATATGGACAATTGTAGTGTTATGAATGACTAACTGTTCCCAAGAGCACATTACATGACTTTAAATGCACCATTTGTACATGTTCTGCCACAGAAGGCCCCTTCTGTGAAGGTATTTATAACAATAAAAAGGAGAGAATTTGGGGGCAGTTTTTAGGAGCCTAGGATCATGGGAGTTTGTTATTAGATTCTCCAGGTTACATATTGTTGTATTGTTCAGGAGGTTTTTACTGGGAATGATGCACCTCCTCTGTAACAAACTCATCTGGAGCCGTATTCACAAGACTTCAGAGTTGATCAGTTGATTACAAAATTCGAGGGAATAAAGTTTTATGACATTTCTAAAAATATTCACTTATAGTTAAGACTAGTTCCTGGAGAATATAAAAGTGATCCAGAAAGCATCTTAGCCCTAAAGATTCTTAGGTGAACAATTGTGACAAGCAGGGTGGAGGTCTTTAAAGAAGAGTTACTTAAGCAGATAAAATGGCAACAAAGGAGGTAGGAGACATATTCTCTATTTGAACACTTTTGTATTCATGTTTGTGGTATATCTCCCACATCTACTGCCGAACGCAATAACTATTTAAGAGTGTAAGAGATCACAACACTTGTATTTTGCGAGTAAAAAAATATAAAAAGCGTGAGCTGGTTTACAGATTTGCATGCCAACCAATGATGCTAGAGTGTCCAGCAATCACACAAATGTATGAGAGCTGAGACATTTCCACCGTTACTATTGATAAACCCTACCTAGGAACCAAGTCAGCAAAGCCTGCTCACTAGCTTTAATATGTCTGTCTCTTTCTTGCTTAGAGTTGCTCAGAGAAGTCTCCTAAAGTACATCCTTAGCTAGGAATCCTTGCTAGAATTGATTTCTTAGATCTTTTCTGTCTTTTCATTTTTTTGTGATTATGTGCCGAGGTGTCTGATGACTAAAACTATTCACCAGGTTCAAATATATACAAACAACCAAGATCAAACATGGTATTGTTCAAAATGTGGTTAACCTGGATAAAAAGACTATGGAGGAATGCTTCTGACGGTAGACAACACACATGCGCAAAAAGGGTAGGTTTCTAATGCAGTCAACCAAATGAAATGCAGCATCACCTTGGTTCAATTACAGAGTTCTCTAGGTTTAAAAAGTGTTGAACACATTTTACATAATTGAAGTACTCAATGAAAAAAAGAAAATCGTATTTAAGTCTAATCGTTTACATTTGATTTGGGAAGGTTTATAGTTTTAACATAAATTCGGTATCCAGTGTGTAGAAATAGGCATGCAATTGTCAGTTACATAAACAGCGACAGTAATCTGTGTTGAGGGGGGGTTACTTTAGTTGTGCAGTTTGAGTCTCCAGCTCTGCTTGAAGCTGACGAATCTGCTCACTCATGGCTGCCAAACTGCTCTTAACCCCCAGCCTGGGGCCTCTGAGGCGGCCCTAAAAAACAACAAACAACAACACACAGGATATTTATTTACAGTTGTACTCATCACACATCTGTGACAGTGGTTATGCTCTCGTTGTTGTGCCTTGACATTTCATGTGAAGAGTCAATGGAGCAATGTATTTTGCAACAAAACACTGAAACTACGAACTCTTATAAAACAGAAAATAAATAAAACTGCATAATTTACTAGCATATAAAGAATCCAAGGTTTTTTCTGATTTCTTTACAACTTATATTGCCTATCGTTTATATAGAATGTAGTATATACACACACCATTCTACTGGTCATAATGATATATTTTGATGTATTTTTCATTGTGTGCAATGCCTTGATAACCTGCTGCTGCCTGCTTAAACACCTTTCTTTCCCCCAATGCGGACCCATCCATCTGTCCATGTAAATCCCCACATTTAGAGCCTATATTGAATATTGCCTTTATGTAAGAGATATTGTAAATAGGGGAAATAAAGTGATTAAATGTGACATTGAACATCCATCCATGTATCTATATGCTATAAAGCACAACATAGACCATTAGAAGATTTCAGCACCTCCATTCAGGGATTATCACCACACCTGAGACCTGGAGGAGGACAGTTCATACTGCATGGCATCGAGGTCGCTGATGAGCTGCATCTGTTCATCCTGCACGCTCAGACAGGCGTTCTCCTGACGCAGCCTCGCAGAAAAAGACTCCATCTCTACTGACTTGAGTGAGGCACACTGAGGGGGAAGAGAGAACACAAGTGTGGATGAGACATGTGTTGCAGTTTGAAAGGATGTACTCAAGTTGATTTTCTCAAGCATTGGCTGTATATAAAAAATGGAAGTAGTCACCGTGATATCAGCTATGTGTGTGGACTGCTGTTTTGAACCCTTGAGTTGGGCATTTTCTTGGTTTCACAAACCCGAAATGAGACAAGAAGTGGTGTCTAAGTACAATCTCACGCTGAACCGGACAGTTTGAGCCGGCTTTAATGTTACAACTAACTTTCATGAATAGAAAACTCACTGTTCTATAAAAGTTGTAGACAAAAACACAGACAATACTCTGTGTGGTAATAATAGGTTTAACAGTTTAAAATATTAACATCATGTAATCGAGGCAATGAGCAAATTACCTAAATGTTCACCGAGTTCATAAATCAAGTGTGAAGGAGGCTAATTTTCTCATAGACTTCTTTTTTTGCAAATAAATAATAAATTGCCCCCTGCTGCGGGCGGGCAGGGAAGATAGTGGCCGACCCCTCCCACCCTGGACACAAACTGTTCACCCCCCTCCCCTCTGGCAGGAGGCTGCGCTCCATCAGGACCAAAACCTCTCGCCACCTGAACAGTTTCTTCCCCTCCGCTACCGGCCTCTTAAACAAGGCCCGGCCCCCCCACTGACACTTTACCTCAGCCACAACGCAGACTCTATGCATTACATTAATGCACACAATGTTCAAATATTGTTCAAATATTGCTTACTGCACATATTTCATATTCTATCATTCACTGCATTCTATTTCGCTGTAAATTACTGCTTTATTTTATTGCTATCTATCTATACTTTTTTACAGTGTTCTTAATATAGTTCGCTATCTGTGTACATTAAAAATAAATGTTGTTTTAAATGTTATGTATGCACCATCAAGTCAAATTCCTCGTACGTGTGAACCTACCTGGCAATAAACCCGTTTCTGATTCTGCTGGTTATTTGAAAGAATGCAGGTTTAAGGAAGTATTTTTTTGTCAAAGTAATCAAATTCGTCAAATATGAATCTGTCATGTGACTCAAACCAAACGTCTCAAATTACCCCATTTAAATATATTCCACACAACCCACAGAAGAGAAGTTTAATATCTACCCACCTATTTCTTCGTTAGAGGGACCAATTATACTTTTTGTACGCTCGGCTTGCACTCATACAGTATGTAACATGAACATGTTCGTACGCAATGCACAGCATATCTTGATGGCCGTTTGTTATTCTTTCACCCACAAGTTTGGTGTTTCTTACCTGAGAGATGGGGGAAGGTGGGGTGAGACTGCCAGCAGCAGCACGTCTCTCAGCCGTCCCACTGAGAGGACTCTCCTGGCAAACACAGCCCGACTGGGATGGAGGAACATCAGGTTCGGTCAGCAGGTAGGTGAGGGTTAGGTGCTCACACTGCTCAGGACTCTTCTGCTCACATTCCCCTCTGTCTTCATGGCCTCCTGACTGACTGTAGAGCATGTATATACAAAAGGGGATCAAGAGAGGAGGATGAGGAGTCAAACACAGCATCAGAACTACTCAAATACATTTGACATTTAGATTTAAAACAATAACTCTCTTTCCAACACTGGACGATGTAAACTCACAATACATTCATTGTGATGAATTCCATTATCTGGATAATTGTGAATAGATATTGTATAAAGATAAAGATTTCGTTATAGACAATTACTTTGTCTAAATTGATAATAACAAGCACATATGGAAATATGTTGATATGCATGTTCATTTTGCACTAAAGATCTAAACATTCTTTTTAAATAATATCAAATATTTAATTCACACGTGTATACAAAAACAGGTTTTACGTAATGGTTATGTTGTTTAGGCTAATTATTTATGAATTTACCAGAAATAATATGGTATTGTAATATACACTTCACTAAAATGAATATATACAGACAAGTTACAAGAAAACAAAGCAAACTGAAGTGGGAGGGCAGAAAGCATAGCTTCAGAAATATATTGCAAGTTATCCAATCATATCGTTTTTGGTCAAAGACATCAAATATTATTGCAAAATAAATACAAACTTTATGTTAATTACGTTTTTGTTTTTTTATTAAACCAAATTACAATTATTTCAAGTCTCAAGGTAACATATGATGGGGTCATGTACAGGGGCTGAAATAACAATACAATACCAACAAATTAAAAGACATACACAGATCACAATACAATTTCCTATAACACTAAACAATCATTTGTAAAGATTAACCAAAGCCTTATAAATCTGGTTTTTATTCTAAAAATGCATATTATTGGTTAACTGAACTAATTAAAGTCAATACCAGACAAGTTGATTAACATACGTTTGTGTAATCTGTTAGGGAAATATTCCTGAATGACCTATTATACCAGAATTAATACTTTAGAGATTTGGGCCCATCTGTCCTTTCTGTGTGACTGCTTGTGTTTTTTCCTTGTTTTGTTGTTTTATTAATGTGATCATCTTGTATGCTCTGCAGAAAGGAAATCTGCTGTAAACCATTATTAACTTGTCACACTAGCATCAAATGTGCAACGTTGGATACTTTTTTTAAGTATTCTCTTACATAAATATACAATGAATGCGTGAAAACTCTTTGTAATATCCTGAACTGGTGTCTGTGGTTTCTCTCAGTGGTATAAGTGCTGTTGTGGACATTAGCAGCAGGTTCACTGTGTGTCTGAGTCCATGTCATGCAGTGTGCTGCTCACCTCAGTTTCTGTCCCACACTGATCAGACTGAGCTCTGTCAGTAGAAGCAGATTCCTCAGACTGACCACATCTTCGGTTAAACTCCTCTCGTTCTCAAACATTAGAGTAACGATGAGTACATGGTAACTACTCAACAACTTGTCGACTTGGTGAGGTTGGCTTTAAGTTACAACATATCCAACGTGAATGTTTGGAAAAGTGAAGAACACCCACAACTAAGTTATATCATCAACAAATCGGTAAGTTAATAGTTAGCATGGCACACTAGCAGCTACCTTAGCTACACTCGATAAATGTAAACAAAGATGCTTAACAGGTGGCTAGCTAATTCGCATTATCGTTCCAAAGCCTATAACCTACCGAACAACCTCACTGACAACATTTACGTTCCGAGTATAATATTAAATGTTTCCTGTCACTGTAAACGTTTAAAATATATGTATTTAAAACTTCTAGTTCAACAAAACTTTCCAGGATACCCGTGTAGAAGCAATGTAGCCGGAACAATTTGTATTTTAAGTCCCCGCCCACGCCTTAACAACACGTTTTATGATTGGACGAACAGAAGCTGTGTGCGCATTGATTGGTGGAAAGGGTTGCTAATTACAGTAGGCGCGAACACTGGCGCCTGCGCTGAACTGTCACTTTTCAACGGCCCTAGGCCTAGAGTTAAGATTCTTTTGACAAAAGCATAATAAACAAACAATACAGATCAACACCATCATTCCATTCAGAACAGATATGTGAATAATAAAAGAACAGATTCAATTACAACATTTGATTCATTTCAATTTAAATTAAATTCTGTCTCAGGAGTGTAGGGTTTGGGAATTATGGCAGGTTTAATAAAATATATGAAGGCGAATTTCAAGCTGTCCCCCACTCTAGCTGTGACATCACGCACTCTAAGCCTTAACGAGCTGCGCAATACACACTAATGTTAAAATCTGAAGAAGGCCTCTTTACCAAGGTCTGAACAATGTTTAATATCTCTAAAAGTGTGAATCTGATTTAAAAGTTGTGTAATATGAATAATGTCAGAAAGATGTGTAACATTTTAAAGTTGGAATGAGGTTTCTGAGTGAAAGTATGAAGGAACAGTTAGCAGTTGAAGTCGCATGAAGATTTTTCAAGTCTGAAGAGTTTCTCCATTGACTTCCATGTTAAGAATTTGATGAATTATGGGATATATCTCGGGAATTATGAAAGTTATGAATGAGAAAAGTAATAGCCATCGATTCCCGATCGAGCTGAACGTTTTGATGTTTGAATGGAGTTTCTGCGATGTGGAATGTGGGAGCAGAAGAGGCGCAAAAAACCCGGCGGAATAATAATAACTAGAGAATGCAATTCCTGAAGAAATTGCTAGTGGGAATGCTTTATGCTGAAAAGCTGATGCTAAACTGCTATGCTGAAATGTAATGTGCAAGAAGAAAGTCTAGAATTTAGATTGAAATGATGAACACTGGGGGCTTGAATGTGTGATGAGAGAAGAAAAGAAAGTAAAAAGGCTTGGAAAAGCAGCAGAATATTTGAACTGCAAACTTTTGAACTAACTTGATGGCGAATGATCTGTCACCATGCCAACAGCATTTGATGACATCCCATAATACGCTTAGATGCGTTGATGGCTGCATCGTTACCAAACCTGTGAAGTTTTGGGCCGTTTGGAGCATTTTCACTGAAGTTATGAGAAAACTGTGTTTTATGGTGAGGATTGTGTTGCCATGGCAACGGCAATTGAAGAAATCTCAAAACTGTCCCGTAGATGTCTTCACGGCTGGACTGTTAGCACACATGTGAAGTTTGAGCACTTTTTGAACATTTTCGTAGGAGTTATAGCGACATCGTCTTTTATGGCGAGGGATGCGTTTCCATGGAAACGGCATATGATGACACCCCATAATTGACGTAGAGCTGTTGAGGGCAGGACCATTAACCATTATCTGAAGTCTGCTGCTCTGAGCATGTCAGTTGGAGTTATGACATCATCGTGTTCCATGACACAGGTGTTTATATTTGAGCTAACGACGTGTCCAGAGATCAAAGGTTTCCATGGTGATGTGCAGTAATCAGTGAAAGGAGAGCATTTTCATTGTTCTGAATGAGAGATAAACCTCTTACATGTGAACGTTTTGTTGAAGAACCATAACAGATATCGGTGAAATTTCAAAGCGTGAAGCATGTCAAGTGTACTTTTTGTGTACTTTCGGGTTAATAATGTGGCCTTTTTGGCAGATTAACTAAAGGTGTGCGGCTGCTGTGGTGGGGAAAGATGAGGCTGAACTTACAATGGAGTTTAATGGAGACATGTTGAAAGTTTTTGTCACTTCATGCCCTCAAGAGGCATTTTGTTTAATTCTTTTGCTAATTTTTTTTTAATTTTTCAAGCTATGAGATGTTTTCCTACGTTTCTCATGAAAGATTATGTCTCAGGAATGTTCGGTTTGGGAATTATGGCAGGTTTAAAAGAAAATATGAAGGCAAAATTAAATCTGTCCTCCACTCTGTGACATCACGCACTCTAAAATCTGAAGAAGGCCTCTTTACCAAGGTCTGAACAATGTTTAATATCTCTAAAAGTATGAATCAGATTTAAAAGTTGTGTTACACGAATAATGTCAGAAAGATGTGTAACATTTTAAAGTTGGAATGAGGTTTCTGAGTGAAAGTATTATGAAAGTTATGAATGAGAAAAGTAATAGCCATCGATTCCCGACCGAGCTGAACGTATTGATGTTTGAACGGAGTTTCTGCGATGTGGAATGTGGGAGAAGAAGAGGTGCAAAATAACCCGGCGGAATAATAAAGAACTTCGTGCGTAGCATAACAAGTAGTTTGAATGCTGTATCAGCATTCCCACTAAATTACAAAGTGTGAAACACTACCCTTAGATCAGTGGTTCTCAAACCTTTTCTGTCAGGCCCCCCCTTTGGAGAAAAAAATAAGTCGGGGCCCCTCCAACACAAATAGTCACGTAATGGGCCAAGTTAACATTTATTAAAATACATCAATATGAACGTGAGCATTCCTTTCAAAAAAAAATTAAAAATCACTTTGCTAGAACACTGATAATAAAACAATGCTCCATAAGTCTGTGTGCTCAAAAAAATAATACATAATACAATTGTGCAATCCCTTTGCTAGAACAATAAGTCATAATACTTTGCCACTTTGCAAAGAAAATGCTGATATATGGCAAAAAAGTGTGTCTTATCACAGGTGGCTGCAGTGAGCCTGTTTTGCACTGCACATTTCTTCAAAACAGGGTTGCAGGCTCAGTGGCGGCGCCAGAGATTTATTTTGGGGGTGCTGTGGGGTAGCTTGACGTTTCATAGAGGGTGCTCAAACATTTAGGGTTTCCCATTAATGTACCGGTCGCTACAGTGGAATTTTCTACTGCAACAATCCCCACGCATATACACAGTGTACCTGCGACTGTTACAATGAAGGCTCGATAATCAGCTCACGGCATATAGGTGTAAGCAGGGGTAAAGTGCTTTATAGGTGGTGTGTGGACCTAACCTCCTCTAGGCATGCTCCCCAGGGAAGATTTTTTTTTAAATATTGAAGTTAAAAGCATCAATCTGGTGCACTTTGAGAGCAAAATAAAGAGATCTATGGATACAACTCTCAACACATATGAAACAGAACTGTAAACAGATTTACTTTTTCTTTATGGATATTTTACAAATCACCCTTTTAAACTTTATTCTTGTTTTACTGTCATATAGTATTTCATACCTGTTTTTCATTTATTCTCTTATTTTTTTATAACTATAATGATCATATAAGCGTTTGCCTCGGAAATAATTGTTTACATTAATCGTGACCAAAACGTTTGAGACCCACTGAGATAACTTAGACTAAAGTTAACTATCTAAACACTCAGAGAGTCCTTTAGTTCACTGAGCCTCTCAGTCTGACAGGAGAGGACTATCCTTCACCTTGTTGTTGAAAAAGCTCCTTGTATCCGTTAGCGTAGCTCACTAGCACCAGAAGCTAACAACAACGATCTCCGGTACCGGTGTGCTCTCTCTCTCTCGCTCGCGCACGCACGCACACAAAATGGCTCGTTCCACACACACACAGAGCCGAGCTTGAATGAAACACAGAGACCCAGACGTAATTGTACTGTACTGTATCATATTATTTTCGAATCAATAATTTTTTTAGTTTAAATAACAATTTTTCCTCCTGGTGCGCCCCCCACTTTGAGAAACACTGCCTTAGATGCATAAGTGGGTATTTTTTGACCCGGTGAGGTGGTTTTCTTGAAGTATCTTTGTAATTACATTTTTTTATCATTTCATATTCCAGCTATTCCTCAAAAAACATGTTTTGGATATCATGCCATTCAAATTTTACATTTAAATTTTATACATTTTAAGAAATTGTAGTTTTTGTTTACCCCAAGCTTCCATAAGTGGGTCAAAATTGACCCGCATGCTTTTTCTATGGAATCCTATGGGAACCTTTGATTCTTATCACCTGTGGCTGTCAGGAATACATTCACTGTAGACCACACAGACTACATCAAGTGACACCTCTCAGGAAGATTATTTTACACAGCAAGATCTGATACCTGTCAGTATAATCATAATAATAATAATAATAATACATTATATTTTGATAGGGCTTTTCAAGGACTCAAAATCACTTTACAATATAAGGGAAGGTTAGGGTCGGGCGTATAGGACTATCAAACTTGATCAACCGGAACATTTGCCGAAACACTTTAACATTTGCCGAAACACTTTAACAAACTAGAGAATCAAACCGGAAAGGGAATGTCATCATACCAGAAGTGACGTGCAAGTGATTGACACAAACTTAAAGGTCCCATGTCATGCTTTTCCGGTTATTACCCGTCCCCTTGTGTGTTATGAAGGTTTTTATGCATGTAAACGGTCTGCAGAGTAAAAAAACCTCAAAATACACCCTGTAGCGAGTAAAACTCTAACACCTCCCCAAAACGCCTCGTTGGAGATTTCTCATTTTCCATTGTTTACTTCCTGGGTATCGCTACGTAGGGATACCCAGTAGCCACGCCCAGAGCTATGGCCGCACCCTCTGCCAGCCTTTCACGTAACAAAGCTTCCCAAAATCTTTCAGGATTCATGCCGGATATGTACAGCGTAGGGCACTGAAGAACGATGCTGTTCCTACTTTGTTTGGACCAGCGGGAGTTCAGGTACACAACCTGTAAGTATTCATTGTTGTTTGTGTATTTATGATGTTTAAAACAAACAAGGTATCTACCACGACTGTTTAAATGGGTAAACGTTTTTCGGACTATTACGTTGAAATGCTCTCCGCAGACCCATGCTCACAGCGTTATAAACCTTTTTCTTACTCAATATCAAGCCACACTTATTGTTTTTACTTCGGCTGTGAGTGTTTGTGTGTGCTCAGGATGAGTTTCGCTTGTTCTAGCTGTATCGCCAAGCCTGTCTGCTCCTCCAGCAGTGTGTGTGTCTGTGTGTGTGCGAGCAATGCTAAC